GACACATTACAGTGCGGGAATGGCTGGGTTATGGGTTTCACCAATGCTGATGTTCTTCACAAAGCTGTAATGAGGTTGACGCACCCTTGCTGTTCGTTCTCAATTGCGCTTCCGTTTATACAGTGGAAGTGCCCGTAGAAGGAAAATGGAAGCTTGTCGGTTCTTATCATATGCTGATGAAGCCCAGATCAATTTCTTGAATATGATGGTTATTCGCTCAGTCAGGAAATACGTATGCAATGATCTTAAATAAATTTTTAAGAAACGCAACTAATGCCGATAAACGATCCAATGATGCGCTTCGACATCGTATCCTCAGCTCTCACTTAATACGGTTGCTAAAGCTGGGTTACGGCATTGGGTGTAATCAATCAATCTACACAATCAGCTTTCGAGAAGTCATCGGATTACCCGGGCAGCCCAGGTACAATTGCGAGTCTTGTCACCCCATTTTGGTGGCTTGCCGGCTGTTGAGTTTCCCCAATTGATTGGGGTGAACAGGTATGGCGTAACTTCGGCTGATTGAGCACCAAGGTCGCTGGATCAGCGATCGATGGATCGGCCAATGTGACGACACGGTCATGTTTGAGTCCTTCAGTCGCGTGATGATGATGGTCGATATGTCGGCAAATCGCCGCCGCTTATCAATATCTGACATTGACAGCGATGAGACATGAAAGACTGCGTGGGGTGCAATTGGATAGTGTTCAGCTGCAGCGGTCCATAAAAGAAACATGAACCTTTCAGGGATGTGTGCTTGAACGTACACATCGGTAATTTATTCACCAACAACGTCAACTGCTAACGAGGCGTGCCCCACTGCACCCAGGACCCCAACGGGATCACCCTGTCCAACACAACTCGCAGTAAGATGAAGCTGCTGGCCAAGCGGAACGAGATGCGGAAGGAGCTGGACCGGACGAACCACGAGACGGGCGCCGCGCAGCGCGACAGGGACGAGCGTAGCAGAAAGTTCAAGCAGCTGGAGAAAGAGTACTCGAGCGGAGCCAGCGTGGAATCACGTCTGGGTAAGCTGCGTGCCGGCCGCGCCGCCCCCGGCCGCCGCGCGCTCCTTTATGGACTCCGTCATGGCGACAGATGACGTCGTGGCGACGGGTGACGTCACAACGCATGCTGGCAAACATCGATTGCCGCCCTGGCTGCTGCGTATGCCGGGGGCCTCCTTGGGACATTGGCTGTTTGGTTGCTCTGCAGCCGCGGGGTGCGTCGACATGAACATGGCTGTGGTAGCTTGACACTTAATCTGGTATGCTGCATGCCGCCTGTCATAACGCGGAAGCCTGTGGACGGTAATCGTTATGTGTACAACTAAACCCGCTTTGAGCTGTTCAGAGGGGAGCTGAACCAGCCACCGGAGCACGTTTTGAATCTTCCGACTTTTTTGCCACGGCTTTCCACGTCGGTATCTGTCCCTGTGACAGCCTGTACATGTATGAACATACGGACTTCATCTGTCGTGTCTGGACGGCCCGCGGCACGCTGTGGCCCGGTGGGCGCGGGCTTGTTTGTTCATGCGTGCACGTGAGCCTGTGACCCCGTGCGCGCGGCAGCCGCCAAGAGGAACGGCCACCTGGGCAGAGTGCCCGGCCAGAGCTTCGCCTCTCCTCGCCGCTCGCCCCACCCGGCGCCTCTGCGAAGGGCCTTCAGTCAGGAGCGTGCCCAGCGCAGCCGCAGGCCTTCCCATGGTGGGTCAGCGGCGAGAGAGTCAGTGGTGGGTCAAGGGCGAGAGGGTCAGTGGTGGGCCAAAGGTGAGAAGGTCAGTGGTGAGTCAGGGGCGTGAGGGTCAGTGGTGAGCCAAAGGTGAGAGGGTCAGTGGTGGGTCAAAGGTGAGAGGGTCAGTGATGGGTCGGGGGCAAGATGGTCAGTGATGGGTCAGGGGCGAGAGCGTCAGCAGTGGATCAGGGCGAGAGGGTCAGTGACGGAGGATTGGGGACGGGCCAGGAGTAAGAGGGTCATGGTCGGCGCTGAGAGGATCAGTGACGGAGCGTCAGCAGCGGGTCAGGAGTAAAAGGTCAGCGGAGGGTTAAGAGGGAGGTCACCCGTGGGTCGGAGGTTGGAGCGTTGGTGGCAGCCGGGGTTGAAGGGTTTAGCGGTTGGTCAGGGGACGCAGTTCAGGTGGTTGACCAAGCGTGATATTTCAGTACTAGACCAGGAGCAGCAGTAAGGGATGTGCCAAGGGTAAGAATGTTAGCTGATGTTCAGAGGCGGAGAGGGCCAATGGTAATCAGAGGTAAGGGGTTCAGCGGAGGTGGTGCAGCGGTGGAGGGTCAGTGATTAGTTAACGCGGAGCAAGATGGCCAGGCTTTCTCTTGCTGACACTGGAGGGCGCGAGGCCCGTGCTGGTGACTGTGTATGTCCAAGTCTGCGATGAGTGTGGTAGGGGAAGGTTAACTGCATGATACGGACATTGTATGCAATGTAAATACACATCACCGGATCAAGGCTTGATGTTGCATGTCAACCTAGAATAATGAATGAGGTGTCTAGATGTTTCTCTACTACATATTGTACTCCCAGCAGCAGTGGCAGGCGATTTATCATTTTCAAAAGGATAGCCTTGCATGGTAAACAGCTGTGATGAATACATGGTGGCAATGACCTTAGAAGGAAACCATGGTTTGATCTCAAGAGGCAGTATCGGCGCATCAATGGCGCGTGAAGGCACTTTAGGTGTAGTTGACCACGGAAGTAATGTCACCTCGTCTGGGAGTATGCGTCGAGTTCTGTGTGACATTAACAGATTATTGTTGCAGCTAATCACCTCAGCCCGGAGAAGCCCCCTGCGACACTGCTACCCAGCCCCCGGATGGAGAGGAAGTCAGGTAGCATGCAGAATCTGGCAACCAAACCGAAGCAGCCAGCACTGCCCAAGTCGAAAACGTAAGATGTTATCGACTAAGTAGCATCCTGCCTGTGTCGTGCAGCGAAACAGTTCATCTAATGCTACGAGTCCCTCGGGAGTTGCGCAATGGTTCATTAACTTAGACAACTTACAAGCACTGAAGATACGGTGCCGCGGAACGATGCAGTATGCCCCAACCAAGTATCTGAAGTGGTTAAAGTAACTGCCTTAGTACCACCGCACTACTGTCAGACTTTTTCGGTGAAAAATTCGCTGGCGTTCATTTGCCAGGAAGAGAAGCTGAATACCAACCCCACCAGCCTCAGTTGCAAATTCCTGTCAAATGCGTGGCAAGTTATGCTCAATACAACGACGACGAGGACCCACCCGTTACAGAGAGCTGCATGCGCCAGGCTGTCCGGCATGACCTAAAGTGATACTGGACAACTGAGCCTAATAAATGGTTCATTCGATGCGTAGATCATTGGGATCCGGTCGTAAACCCGAGGGAAAAGCTTAGCCACGCTTGGATACGGCGGCAACCGTTGCTAGAACACGAAATGCCATGCTGATGGAATCACGTTCTTGAGCCGGAAAGGGCGATGCCAAGCAGACAAAGCCCATTGAAAGTCTTAACATGACTGGCGAATAGCACCCCCACGCATTCTGTACATAAGTGGATACAATGCTGTTAAAACTTGGATGCAGCTAGAACCAACTACGAAGCTACGTGCGTTGCTAAAATTGAGTCATGCCTGTCATCAGCTTCTGCTTTTCGCTCAACTGCGTTCTAAGGTGCGATATGTTCTGAAAAGCTGTTGTTGAATAATTCCGCATTTTCGCAGTTTTGGAGCCGAACTGAACAAGCGCAGTATCCCGAGCAGCGCGAGTACCGTGTTTGGAGACCACTTGGAGAAGTTTGGAAACCCCAAGGCGGCCCTGGAAGAGGCGTACCGCAAGCTCAACTCTGATGACTGGTCAGTGGTCCGGATCGTTATGTCATAGTGGTCAGGTAATTGCCACAAAGGTAAGGAACATTAAGATGGCGTTGGTGATGGCCCTACTGTGAACCACCACACCTAGTCTCAGGCGGGAATTCGTCCAGCTTTGGGGCTGAAGCGAATTTCGATTAGTTTCTTTGCATGCAGCATTATAGCCATTGCCGCCCTACAGCGGCCATGACATCATTTTTCCGCATTAATTTTATTTCCGCATTAGTTTCCGCATCATTTCATCAATTTCGGGGTCCGGCTCTCCAGGTCCTCCTAGCTGCAGCTCAAATGCAGCCAGACTTCGCCAAAAACTTCCATATTTGCGGTGAACATTGGCCGAACACACGCACGTCAATTTTCCTACCCGCACGACCACAGCACCAATCCTTGTGTCGACCCCGTCCGTTCGCGGAGCCGCCGCTGGGCCAGCCCGAGTGGCGTTGTCTGTGACCTGGCGTGACCTGGCGTCGGCAGGGAGCGGGAGGTCAGCGGCCTGACGGACCTAGTGCGCCTGTTCCGCTACCACCCGGACATGGTCAGCGGCGACCTCAAGAACGTCTCGGCCGCCGTCATCAAGCAGATGAAGAATCTGCGCTCGCAGGTGCTGCGTGCCGCTGTCCAGACCAGTTGCGAGATGTTCCAGCACGTCGGCAAGGGCGTTGAACCGGTGAGCCTCGTCGACATCGGTGAGAGCGACGTCACCTGGCGTGCGTGGCACCACATCATCACATACGCGCGCTCACGACAGCGGCGTCACAGACTGCAACACGGGATAGCACAACGCTCAGTGGTGTAGCGTTCTGCGTGTTTTCGTCATCGCTTTCATGTAGAGTTCAGCGTGTGCTGCAGAATATGTTGCAGGAATCGCTCTACTCTTCGTAACTCCGCAAGGCCGTCGCGAGCCCACGGCATCCGCTACCGTATCGGCCACCGCCACTAACCCCGCCCGTCGCTCCGCCGCCAGAACCTGGAGAAGATCGCGGCGATTCTGCTGCAGAAGACGAGCGACACCAACAAGTTCATCAAGGCGGACAGCAACCGGTCGCTGGACGTAATGCTGGACAGCGTGTCCCTGCCGCGCGCCATTACGGCCGTCACCAGCGAGGGTCTAGGGCACCGCAACGCCCAGGTGCGCTGCACGGTGGCCCGCCTGCTGGCGACGGTGGTGCAGCGGCTGGGCGCGGCCGGCTCGCTCTCGGGCCAGCGCGACATCACCGACCGGCTGGTGCCAGCGGCCGCGCAGCTGGTGCGCGAGGGCGACCTGCAAACGCGGTATGTGCCAATGGGTGGGGGCGGCGGGGAAGGGGGAGGGTAGGAGGTTAGGGTGGGTAGGAAGGGGCGTGGAGAGGCGCTGTTAGATCTGGAGGAGAACGGGACTGAAAGGATTCGTTGGAAATGGAGGAGGCCGAAGAGGGCGGGAACAAACTCGAGGGGATAGAAGAGGATCGGAGGGACGTGAATATCTGCTGGAGTCGGGGTGAGAGGGACCGGAGGTACAAAAGGGACCGCGCAGGGCTTGCAGTCGTTTAAGAGCGCAGGGTAGCAGTCCCTAACAACGAGATTGCGATGCTGACGCTCTACAGATGGGTCTGAAAGTTAGTGTCAGCTAGTCTTCAGTAGTTTGCGGTGATGTTCCGGATGTTAACGCTCATTCCGGTGACAGACGTAATGACACCGGTGTTGCTGAATTTGTCAAAATGATCTTACGGGGCGATAACAGCACTTTACTTTCATTTCACCTCTGAAGTTCTGCATTTTTCCATGGCTGTCCCATGGTTTAAGGATAGGACTTGAACTAACTGTTGCGATGTCTTTACATTAGAAAACACGCGAAGACGATTTTTCAAGTATGGCTTCAGCATCCTGATTTGGACAAGGTACTGAGCAAATACCTGTCTGGATCGGTCAAGCTGGACATCGATAAGGTGGTCGACAACCTGAAGAATGAGGTACCGACGCCGGCCTTGTCCACCGCCTCCCTGACCTGACCTGACCTCGCCCGACATCATCATCCTACCACGTCACCAACAGTCAGTATCCAGTGCAGTGTCTTGTTCACCGTTTCAATCCCTTCAAAAAAATGTGAACATTGCTGCTATCATGATCAGATTTTTTATTTGTAACTTGAAGGCATTATCGTACAGTGTTGATTTTTATCTCAGTAATACGAATGTGCCGGGAGCAGGTTTTGCGTACATTAGCTGTCACGCAGCTGACTCTAGCTTATCTCCTCCTCGCTGTGTGTTCCTTCTGCACAATATGACGGACGCCGTCGCTGACGGCCCCGTGTGGACGCCGACAGGGCAAGCCCAAGGACTCGGCGCAAAGCAAACGCGGCTTCGGCAGCCGGGTACGGCTGAACCACACCATGTGAGCGTGGCGGGAGGAGCGCGGCCGCGTCGCGTGGCTGCCGCCGGCTGCTCCGGACGGGCCTGTCGCGGTCAAGAGCCGCATCCTCCGCGGACAAACGCCACCCCGGCCGCCGCGGTCGGGTCCAGTCCCGGAGCGGATGTTCTTATCTCTGGGAGTGGCTGAGGGGCGTGACTTGAGGGGCGTCAGGGAGAGGATCGCGCCCGTACCTACTGCGGCTGGGCGGACGTTGTGAGCGGACGACCCGCGGGGTGGAGGGGACGGGTGGGTCTCAGGGCCGCGCGGAGTGGCGGCCCGGTTAGTTCGCGCGGAAACGTCTGGGGCTGGTCCGCCCGGCGCCGCATAAATTGTTGAGTCTTTGTAGTGCGTTTTACGAACTAGAGCGGCGGCCCACGACATAAGGGGCACTGGCGGCATTTTGTGTACGTGGATCGCCACTGGGCAGGTGTTTTGTAGGTGTGGCTTCGGTACTCCATTGGATCTAATCCGTCCATTTGTGCCACGAAATCAAATAAAACTTCTCTCTTCAGTTGTTTTGTATGCTTCGCGTATAGCTACAGCATGGGAGCTTTCGGTGGTTACAACAGTGCAAAAGCCGTGTTTGAACCAATCTGGTCGCCAACATCTTGCAAGCAAGCGTGCACTAGTATAAGACTGGAAATTTGAAAAGCAGCTTTAATCTTGGTCCCTTTGAAGGCTCACACCTTCCAAGCTGTGTTTACGAACTAATGCTAAAAGGGATTGGCATATCGATATCAACCGTGTAGATGTTCTCCGCAGTAGCAAAATTCCTTGGTTTTTGTAGAGTTTATGCGCTTTAGAGATGTTTTGTAATTACGGATTTTGTTGAACTAGTTCAGATTATACATGCAAACACAGCTTTTCAACCCTGATAAGTGAAGAAACAAGTGATATCCCCGTTGAGTCTGATTTAATTTTAGAAGCGTTGACAAATGTTCGCAGCGTAAATAAAGGCTGGACAAAAATAATATGTCACATGAACTAAGACAAAAATGTCCACACTCCTAAGACACATCGAACACACGATGATATTGCTGGCGTGCTGGATTCCTGCTCGGTCTCCGTTGCTGTTGAAATCAAAATATATTTACTTGCATTTTGATAGCTAGAACTAAACGCTTCAGCTTGACTTGGTATCAAAATATATGCTCGTGAAATGTTCATTTGCAAGGCAGATTAATAACAGGTTAAGTCGGAGAGCTTCCACTAGTGAATTTGAAAGGAGCTGGCTGCACCATAAACCAGCAAAAATCAGATTGATTTCGGAGTTGGATCTGATTCGCCGCAGACCAATGCAAATCTGCGGTTTGTGCACCATCTTTACCTGGCCATCAATCAACACTGAAGCTCCAACCTCGCAACAACGGACGAAGCCGATGAACAGTGGCGCCACCTATACAGCTTTTCTATCCGTTTGCTCGTGCTAATATTACGGCTCCCTTGCATGACATGAATGGTAGAATTGACCTATGCTAAGTATGTTATAGAGATCAGCTATTCCAAGTATTTCTTCCAGAACGCACATTGATTGTCCCGGTAGGCATTCACGTGTCTTAAATATCAAATGTACTACTCTTTGAATTACAACATTCAATTTTTTACATCATATTTATGTTACATATATATTACATAGTTACAACAATTGCATTCGGTTACGCAGTCAAGACCTAGTCTTCCAATACAAGGCAAGTGCGGGGCAGCCGTAATTGACCTGAATTGCGGTGCATATAAGCGCACTGGTCAGTCGTGGTAGAGAGATGGGAATCAAGTCAATATGATGTCACTTTAACCCCGGATCTGCCTTAAAGGAAGTGTTCCACATTGAATGAGATTTTGAGATGAAATGGCTATATATAAGACCATTTGATGCAGTTCAAAGCCTTGCAGTTCTTAAGACCTAAATCCCTCCAATCTCTGAGCTAGGCGCCCTGAAGATGTGCATACTTTTTCAGGAACAGTATTTTAAGGTCACTCAGGCATCCATGACGCCATCATAACATCACTCAAATCCTGCATTTCATTAGCCATGTGGCGATCAGATATAACGTCTGTCAATTGGCTCTCAGACAATGCTGTGCATGACACGATGACGTAATCAAAACAGTGACGTATTGGGAAGCCTATTTACTCAACAGAGAAGTTGCGCTGTCTAGAGCAGTTTTTTTTTGCTCTTAAAAGTACCGATGTCTTCAAGTGAGCTTATTGAATCCTATCTCATCCTTGCTTTAATATTTCCAAATGTTGAACGCATCCTGTAAACCATGTCACGGAATGGTTCAAACAGGGCGGACGGTTCTGTCTCCGGGTGAAGCGGCCAGTGACGTCACATCTGAATCAGCGTCCGGGCAGTGACGTCACGTCTGGGTGAGCATCCGGCCGTGAGCAGGCGGAGCGGGTGGACGAACATCGAAGAGATCGGGGAAGAGTTCCACACCGTCGCCAAGGAGCATATCAGCAGCTTCCAGCGATAAATACAGCAGGGCATCACTCCAGTCTGAGAAAGCTTCGGTTGGAGCCGGTGACAGCAGACTCCGGACATCTCGCGAACCCGGAGAAGCCTGTGGCAGAGCAGGCTGGGTCTGGAGACATTGAGAGCGGTTACGCGAAGCCGACCAAGATACCCAAGCGGACAAGGGTGTTTTGATGGACACTTGCTGCCGATTTCGACTCTCGTCGCCAACCTTCTGCGGGCTCACCTTCCCACCACAAATGCAGGCCGCAGACGGTTTGGGAGATGTACACGAGATCGTAATTGCCATGGTGGGGAGGCGCTGTTTCCAGCATCAAACTTGAGAAGGAAAAAATGGCGAACTGTTGTTGCGCATGCTCAGCACATAGGCTCGTGTTTACTTTTGCAAGGTCTCGGTGTGTTAGCACCCGACAATCTCCATCAGGCTCGTTCACAAGTCACGAAGGCGGGTTACGAGGGTAAGAAACTGTGCATTGAGTAGTCTATGACGCACAGTAGGCTCACGTGCTGAATACGATGCCGCCGGCGAAGACAAACAAACAGATTCGTTGGGCCTTCACGAGGAACGGAGTCGGCATTTTAGGTAGCAGCATCATGTTATTGAACAGCAATATCTCAGCATTAGAAAGCAGCATCCCAGTAGCGAATCATAACATCATAGTCGAAACACTATTGTAAACAAACCACGGATGCCTTTGGCCCGTCAGCAGGCATCACAACTGGCATTGATGAAACAATTAGCATCCCGTAGTTTACGACGAGCGCAGTCTGCGTTCTGATCCCTTTTAATATGCTTTAGTGCGCACCTACGGCGGCCTTTCGCTCTCTCCCAGTTACCCACGTCTGACACCGTTCCTGGCCCTCTTTCACTGATCTGCAAATTCTGGGGAGGGGTGAAGGTTCGAGCCGGCTCAGAGCACCGCGGCGGCATCACGCGGCGGCTAGTCTCGCGCTGGGGTTCGTGGAATAAACAGTGCGTGGGGGTGGGGTGGGGCTGGGGATGGGGGTGGGGGTGGTGAGGCATATTCACGTGACAGCGTTTGACCGGCCGAGGAACTCGTGGTTACAATAATAACACTGCCAACTAATAATACTGTGTGTACCTCAGTTCACGCCGCAGCCTTCTTTCAACCAAGAGTGTAAAACATAATGTGCTCATCACAAAATAGCTTCTGCGTCTCCTTTGGAACTAGAACTCTTCGGTTAATACATCCAGCTGCAGGCATGTCTCATTTTCAAAGGGCTTTGCGTTTCCTTTGCTTCTGCTTTCTTTGTCATGAACCCATCATCAAGCTCCACTTTTCGTATGCCTTATGTTGGGTAGATGTTCGCATTCACCACGTGTCTGTCGCTACCACAGCGGGGGCAAAAACACTTCCAGTTTACCGGATGTGATCGGTGTGAAAAACAGACACTGTTGCGAGTCAGTTGGTGATAAAACTGCAAAACTGGAAATAAGTTATAACAGACCAAACTATATTGCAACATATGATCTCAGTGAGACGAAACTCAAAGGTTAATATTAGTCTGCATTCGCTAACGCTTGCAGCGTAAGCTTGTGTAGAGCACGGGGGTCGACACGTTGGGGTTTCGCTGCATTGGCAAGTTGAGCCACAAGATACTGCCAAACATAGAAGCGTTAATCAGGGGAATTGTTAGCAGGTGACAAAAATACACCGCAATTATACACTATATTAGTGACGTCACAAATCACCGGCGACACGGTGATTTTCCAATGCCCCGCAGAACATTGTTGTTCACAGATTTTTCAGCCAAGATCCACCTCACATACTAAATAGTAAACATACCAAACAACAAGACTTATTACTAGTCGTAAGAATCGTGACTGGCCACAGTATTTTGCAACGAACGAACCTCAGTTTGCTGCGCGACATTTTAAAGCGTCGTACCATTTGAGACAGATGGGCTTGCCTGCTTGCCACGTGGTAATGCAGTTGGTTCGGTGCATAGCTGTGGGCTGCCGTTGGTTGTGTTCGTGTCATGAGAAGTTGACTGATATGAATAACACAACTAATCGTCAATTTTTTAAGGCACTGCGAGACTTTTCTGAAGATTTACCATAGCGGGCGCCGCTGGTAATAGAGTTCAAAAGCCCCAGCGATCTAGCAGGCTTGTTTGTGTATACCCAAACTGTAGCTTCAGGGGCCAACGAAGGATGTTGAAGTGATGCACGTCAAATATTTATCCGGGGCTTCGTGTTTGGGGTAAGAGGTCAACCATCGCTAGTGCAGACCTCTCACACTGCAAATGCGATTAAAACAGCGGCTGCGGCGGCTGCGGCTGCAAATGCAATCAAAACAGTTTGCTCTCCAGATTTGACGGACTTCTTTTCAGAGCTGGGAGCAAGGGGCCACATTTTCAAAATAAGTTTGAGGGGCTGAATCCTAAACCATAATGATGAATGGAATACAATGACTTATAAAAATGACTAAAGACAGGAAACTGCATCTTTGGTTAGTGGGCACAATCCTTCCCGAAACTGAATAAGAAACTACATACCTGTAGGCTTAGCGATGTTAAGTATGCCTTTATCTCATAATTTATAGATAAGTCTCAGCCATCGTTCAGTGTCTGATGAATTACTTAAGTATCAAGTTTCATGCCTGCTCTAGAACAAAATCCAGACAGAGAGTGAATATGTTGGGAGAAGCCCCTAACATGGACATGCGCCAGTGATGTCTTGAAAGAAGCCTAAGCCGCGGTCGCCTGTTAGCGTTTCCTTGATGCGTGTCTGTCTGCGTAGTTACACATGAATAAGTCACGCCTCCCCTCCTATGTCTGACACTAAACCGCTGCAGTTAGGTGCTAGTGCCGCACGCTCTGTTAAGATACAGAACATTACAGTGGTGCTGTGTGGGGTAATGCAAGAAGTATTGCACGCTTTGCTCTAGTTTTTATACAAGTTCGTGATGTGTGATAATTGGGTCCTCGGTGCACAGCTGTAACATGTGATGTGTTGCACGTGCATTTGCCCATAACAGGATAGCGAATATATGCTATGGACGGTTACAATATGT